AGCACACTACAGTCAGTGTCAGATCCTGGGAGGTTCACAAATAGTAGAGTTAGACATAGACTATGTATCTTAAACAAATGTTGTCCTCTAATGATTATATGATTAACACATTTGAGACCATGAGATCACCATTGTAATCTATGATAGATACACTGACTCTATTACTGTTTGAGTGTCCCACAGTGTCAGCACCTACAATGTACATTGTAAGCATGTAAATCTACAAAGTACACATACCTATGTACCCTTCTTCACATTCATCACAGAAGTCTCCAGCAAACCGAGGTAAACACCGGTCACAAGCTTCACCATCATAGCCATGCTCACACACACAGGCGGTGGTGTCCCCAACAATGGTGCAGATACCTGGGTTATAACATTCAATACGTTATGTCAATCATTGGTCTAGGGTTTTCTGCCTTATATAGTAGAGTGTATTTTGTGTCCTGTCTCCCTAAATCATCTTCAAAACATGTAATTGAATGCATGAGGGGGATTTGAGGGGGATCAAACTTTTCATGTTGTACAACTGTGGAAGTTGTAGCATGGACTAGGCACTGTTCATGCCAAAAAGGTAAGAGAAAGATTGAGCACATATATGCATGAAAGTGAGCTACAAGAGTTGTTACCTCTACTGCTGCAGGCTGGTTCTCCAGGACACACCAGGTCTGAACAGGTTAACCCACCAAAGCCAGGGTTACACAAACAGATGGACTGTCCACCACGCCTCACACAGGTGCCTCTATCAGTACAGTCAGGCTCTCCTGGGCAGTCCAGGTCCTGACACATGTCACCTTCATAACCTGGAAAAGGGATAAGGTGTTGTATTATTATGCAATGTCTAATGGTTGTTAAGTCAATGCATTACCTAGTATGAAAATGAAACATTCATGAAGAATAAAAGAGGCAATATTCTAGTCCTGAAGACTATACCTCTTGCAGTAGAATAATATATCACACACATTCAATGATATCATACAATACATCATCCTGGTATAATTCCAACTCATGACATTGTGACTGTCAGTGACTAATACCTGTCTACTCCATCCTTAGAACAGTGAGATGATTATCACATATGGTACTTCACCTGATTGACATTGGCATGTTCCATTCTGGCAGGTTCCATGATCTGTGCACTCCATATCACAGCTGGTGCCTGAGTAACACGGGAAGCAGTCACAGAAGCCACTGTCCATGGGCTGCTGGACACCATGTGTGCAGGGTACCTGACACTCCGACCCCATCCACCCTTGTGTGCAGTTAACACATCTTGGTGGGTCATAGTTTGTCCCATCACAGTAACCTGTGTATGGAACAGGAACAGGTTGTAAAATACACATTCTGTAACTTGCAGATTTTTTTATCAGGATTTGTTTACACATCTATATATAAATCCCTTGTATAAATGTGGCACAAGCAGTTAAAAGAGGATGTTCTATTCTTTAGATTGCTGTATCTGGATGAAATGAAGTGTCACCTCTGTCCCTACAGTCAGGTGTGCCGGGACAGTCAGGAGTGTTGCAGTCGGGACCCTTCCAGTTGGGCTGGCAGTAGCAGACCTGGTCTAGTCGGTTACAGTAGCCATGGCCTGAACAGTCCTCTAGCTCACCAGGACAGCCACGGATACTGCAGTCCTCACCTGTAACAACATCATATCAGTGATGTTACCAAAGTGCCATCAATTTCTACTGTACCACGATAGCCTGTTAAGAGCATAAATCTAATTGCATGGCAGACAACTACCTCATGCTCACAGAAAAACACTTCCTAATAGGTATGACTGCTTACCTCTCCAGGCTTCATCACAGGAACACTGGTCATTCTGACATGACCCGTGGTTACTGCACTCCAGATCACAGCCTGGTCCATAGTAGCAGGGGTCACAGACACAGGTGTCCTCTGGTGTTACTGTTCCATTGACACATGGGCGGTCACAGGATGCTCCCATCCACCCAGCATCACATCTTGTAGGGCAACAAATATCAAGCTTTAAAACAACTATTCCTGATACACTTCTTAACATGTGCAAGTCTTGAGCCTCTGCATAGGAATCTATAGCAAAAGTATCAAATTGACTGATTCTGAATTTGCACATTAGCTCAAAACATTTCACCATAACAACATTAATTTTACACTAAAAAGAATAAACATTTCTTTGTGAACAAAATGACTACCTGCAGGTTGGAATGTCTCC